AGTAAATAATTATTTGATAAATAAACAACTAATGCACCTCCAGCTAAAAGGGGAAGGAAACTGAATTTAAATTTTGACTCAGACTGCCCCACATGAACTAGTAAAGGAAAATCAAAATAACTCTACTAAAACTTGTTTAGTTTCACAGACATCTGGAGGAAGAATAAATAGCCAACATAAATAAGCAGAAACTGAAAAATAGAAAAGGGAAGTAAAGTGTTCAGTTTTACTTAGTGCACATCATTCATAGATCTCCGGCAAAACCCCCAAAGTTCTGTCAGTCCAGACTTTGTTCAGCTAACCACAGGGTACCTGTGCACAAAAAGTGGAGTCACCCTTAAAACAGCAAAATCTTCACTCAGGCACATTTCATTTCTCCCCTGAGGATATTTTCTCAGAGGTAAATCTGCTTCTAAACTTTGGACTTCAGCTACTCCTAGACCATTACTTGTCTGAAATTGCTTCTAAATGTCAAGCAAGACTCCCTTAAGCCACATTCCTGCTGTAGTCCTGTCACCATTCCAGCCTCTTTAAGAGGTTAAGACCAGTTTTGTTGTTGTTATTATTACTGCAGTGATGGTGATGGAACCTTGGACTTTCCTCATACCAGGTAAGTACCCCTGTGAACTACACCCCGCCATAAGTAAGACCAGTTATAATGAAGCAAACCCAAATAGGAGAAACACCTCTACAGAGTCCAGTTGATCATTTGGGCAAAGTAGTTTTTAAAATATTAAATCCCAGGACTTGCGGTATAGTTTAGTGGTAGCATGTATGAGATCCTGGCTTCAATTCCCAGCACCTCAGGAAAAACCCAAAATACTGAAATTCCCTAATTTCCAGAAGACACGGACTCTCTGACAATAAATAGTTCCAAATAAATGTGCACTTGCTTAGTTTGCATCGTGCGGAAGAAGTGAAAGGTTTGAAGACGAATAGAAAATGACAGAAAGGCCCTTTCGCTCTGACAAGTGATCCAGCACTGACAAAGGGCATGCACACAATTTCTAGTCTCATCAGCGAGTCACTATCCCCACGCCACTGCCATTACACACACTCACTTTCCATCCACGGGCCTTCCTCGCCTTCTTCCCCAACTCATCTTATATTCTTCCCCAAACTCTCCCTTCTTCCCCAAACTCTCTTATATTGGTCCAGCCTGCTGTCACCGCAAGTTTCAGCCCAGGTACCAGTCTGGTCTCCTGCTCCTATCTATAGACTCGGGCCTATAAAATTTCACTACAGCACCTCAGACCTTATCTCCCAGACTCTCAATACCCACCTCCTCTTTAACAGTCTTGAATCTGGGGGTCAACCTTTTCTGCTCCCCAGCCCTCAACGAATCTGACCCATCTTCCCCGTCCTCTCCACGCCCTTCCAGTCCCTCCTCTCAGAAATTCTTCCCCGACGTGTAGCCCGGGGAAGGCACCCGCAGGTTTGTGCGCCTGACATCTCTCACAGTGCTGTCGAGACCTCCCAAACCTCCCGGTGCTCAAACCCACCTACAGTCCCCGACTCCCCAGCTCCCTCCTAGCCCACCTGCTCTCCTCGGGCAGGAGCTTCTCACAGCCGCCAAGATCCATTCCCGTGCCTACGGCCGCATCCGGGGCTGCTGAGCCGCCACCTAGCTGAGGAGAGGCCGCCCGGTCGCTTTGCTCGACAGGGCGCCCGGAGCCCCGAAAGGGCAGAGGAGACACCCAAGACTGGTGGGCTGTGAGTGATGCACAACCCTGGGGCGGCGGCAGCGTCAGTGACTGCTGTCTCAGCTGCGGTTTATATCCTTGCCACCCCCACTTCCGGCTCCAAGAACTACAACTCCCAATAAGCCCTTCGACGATCCAGTCGCTTCCAGCATGCACCGCTCTACCCAATCCGAGGCTGGGCTGGCGACGAACTGCAGACCTCAGTACCGGGTGTGCGGTGTTTGCGATCTGGTAGGAACTGGGACCTAGATCACCGATAGACGCCTGGTTTCAGGAAGTCGTTAAGATGCGGACGCTTACGCATTTATGTCCTCTTACTGTGGGAACTGGACTCAGAGGTGAAAACTAGGAAATAACGCCGGTCTAATCCAAGTTCGATTAACTCTACTTCAGCCCCCCTCCCCCCCGTTTAACACCTGTGGTGTTGGCTGACCTCAAGCATTTAAATAAAGGGTTCACATACTCTGAAGGACATAAATCGCTTTGGGATCACAAAATTAAAGAAGAGGGAAAGGTTTCGGGGAATGGTTCCCTGGAAGACTATTGTCAGCGCAGTTTTTGAGGATGAGCAGGAGTGAGCCAGGAGAAAAGGGAAAGCGAAGATAGACAGGACAGAACTGGCAGACAAAAGGAAATACGCTGGTTTGGGAACTGCTGGTTCTGAGTAGTATTCAAAGCTGGGAAAGGGTGGGAAACAATGATGTGGCATTCGGGAGCAGGTAGCCCAGATCATGAAAAGCCATTTTAAGGAACTTGTATTTTAATACTGAAATAATTAGTATATCAAGGATATACAAATCACATGATTTGATCAAATCTTAGAAAACTAACTTTAAAAATGTGGAGACAGGACGGGGTATGTACTACATAAGAGATAAGAGTAGAAGACAAGACAGCGAAGACTTGGAATCCTTACAAGAACCAAGCAGGTAATGCCAAAGAGTAAAGTAAACCAGTTCCAAGAAACAACAGGATATGGCGGGAATTCTGAACTGGAAAGCTCAGACCTCAACGAGAAGGGAAGTCTCACCTTTGCTGTAATTGAATATTGTCAAATTGGCATATGAGCCTAGGGTTGCGGCATATTCTTATTTGTCAAAAGAAGTTGGAACCTAAGCTGCGGTGTAGCTCAGTGGCAGTGTGCTTACATAGCATGTATAAGGCTGTGCAAAAATACAAAAAAAGCAACTGAAATTTTAGGTACAATATCCAAATCTTTAAATGTTGTCAATTTTTTGGGGGGGAGCAAAAATTTTTTTAAAATTTCGACATTACACAGATCATACAAAATTTGTCTGTAGGGCCAGGACTGTGGCTTAGTGGTAGAGCACTTGCTTAGCACATGTGAAGAACCACATAAAAATAAATAAAGGTATTGTGTCCATCTACAACTAAAAATAAATAAATAAATAAATAAATTTTCTGGGGCTGGGATTGTGGCTCAGTAGTAGACTGCTTGCCTGACTGTGTGAGGCGCTGGGTTCAATTCTCAGCACCACATATAAATAAATGAATAAAATAAAGGTCTATCAACAACTAAAAAAATATTTTAAAAAAATTGTCTGTAGGCTGCAGGTGGCCCTCAGCACTTGGATTGTTAGTTTGTAAACCCAAGCCTAAAGCAGTGGCTGTGAAAACAAGGAGGTGCAGATTACAGTAATAGGATGATATAATCAATATTGATCTATGAGCACTGGATATGACAAGGGAAGGATAGGAAGGGATCAAGGATAATTTCATGAAAAACTAATGACTACTAACATGACTTTTAGAAATTTTCAGACTTGGGAAAATTGTGTGTGTGTGTGTGTATTAAAAGTGAAATGAGAGAAGCTTTTAATGATAATTACGATTTCATTTATATAAAAATTCTCTTTGTTCAAACTTTTGTCATATTTTCCTACTAAAGAATTTATGCTTTTTAAGAAAGGAACAACATTAGTCACTGGGATTTTACTACTTTCTGTTTCTACAAATGTATGAAATTCACTTTTTGACATATACTATAATCCCAAAATAATGCAATGTGATCTCAACACATGCTTACAATCAGCTCTAACAGGAAATCCTAAAACTATAGTTATAGTACAAGTTCCAAAAAATAGGATTTTATTTTTATATCCAAGTCTGGGTTTACATGTATTTTCTTTAAAGCAGTTAGTAAACACCACAAGAATCTACACTAGCTGTGTATCCATACCCTGAACTTCTCCTTCATCCATCATCATAATCCTAAATCCTTTGTGTATTATTCCATTGCTTCCCTTATCTAGTCTCTTTCCATCTATCTATATTCCTAAAGAGTGTTATTTAGATTTTTTTATGTTGTAACATTATAAAAAGGATTGAGAAATATTCCATGGGGTCTCACTTTTTTTTTACTTAATACTGATAAAATTCATTCATGTTGTTATGTGTCACTACAGTTCATTGATTTTGACTGATGCATATTAGTCCATTATATGAACAGTTAGTTCATACATTAGTCCATTTTATCACAATTTATTCATTCTCTCTCCCATTGATAGACATTTGAATTTTGAGAGTTTTGCTCTTGTAAACTCCTTCAATGAACAGTCATATAGGTCTTTCCTTGTATATAAGGAAGAGTTTCTCTTAAGTGTATATGAAGAGTGGAATTGTTGTTCTAGTTCTTGTTTGAATCATGGGTTAGTAGGTGCATAGTTTTTAAAATAACTAGTTATTAAATTATGACTAATTATAGTCAGTATTTAAAATAACTAATTAATTAACTAAATGAAAATACCATGCTTGGAAACAGATGAGTATATCATGAACCAAGGATTATGATTAACCCAATTTTGTGCATCTGAAATGCAAATACAAAAAAATTGCCAAATATCCAAAAATATCTAGCATCATGGTTCAATAGTGTCACACAAAGGCAGTGGCCTTACTTAGCAATTACTTAATGATTTTTTAAGCTTTACTCCAAGCAGATTTATTTAACCTAACAAAATTTTATATACAAAGGGATCTGGACATGCTGCTTCAAAACATAATCCTTATTAATATCCTGATACGTTGGCTAAAAAGCAACTCACTCTAAAATAAACAGAAAAGTATTCAATGCATATTCAATGAATGGCTTAATCACTGCAACTTAACTATTTTAAAAAAGGAGAGAGAAATTTTTTTAATATTTATTTTTTAGTTTTTGGTGGATATAACATCTTTATTTTATTTTTATGTGGTGCTGAGGTGAGCACATTACCGCTCAAGCCACATCCCCAGCCCAAACTTAACTAGTTTTGTAAGATAATTAACATAGTAGGATTGAGTCCCTATGACAGGCTGCTGGGAGAGAGATCAAGAGGCCGTTTTGTGCACTGCCACGGTGATGCTATCATGTTTTTGGATCATAATGTTCCCATCATCTGATTCTAGGCACACCACAGGAATATCAGTGGGGTCAGAGGTTAGCTTATCTGCTTGTTGGGCTAGAACATATATAACCCCAGCATGTTCATCTGACAGGGTCCCACGACAGCCCAGATTAAGTCCTTGTGAATCTGTGCACAGGACTCCAACAATGGACGGATTCTTCATTGTATCCTCCAAGTGCTGCTTCAAAGTCGCCTCCATCCCACTCAAAGGCCACCTCGGGGCAGGACGCTGCAGTGCAGCCAGTCCTCAGTTACTTAATGATTTTTAATTAAAAATTTTTTATTTTCTTGCAAGACTAGAGATAGAGCATAGATCCTCTCACATGCTAAGCAAACACTCTACTATTGAACTATATATACCTCCATCCCTGGATTTGTATTTTTAAAAGTCACAAAACTTGAAGAAGTTTATCTGATCCTGATCAATCTATTTGTTTCCAAGTTTATCAGAATGCTATTTTTATACAAACAGAAGGTATTACAGAAACACTGGCAGAAGGCCAATTTCAGCTGGGCCCAGTGGCACATATCTATAATCCCAGCAGCTGGGGAGGCTGAGACAGGAGGATTGCAAGTTCAAAGCCAGCTTCAGCAATGGCAAGGCACTAAGCAACTCAGTGAGACCCTGTCTCTAAATAAAATACAAAATAGGGCTGGAAATGTGGCTCAGTGGTTGAGTGCCCCCGAGTTTAATCCCTGGTTCCCCACTTCCCACAAAAAAAGAAAGCCAATTTCACTCAAGGATTGGTTAATCAAATAATGGATTTTTAAGTTGTTGTGTTTTTTTTTTTTTGTTGTTGTTGTCAATGGTCCTTTATTTTATTTATTTATATGTACTGCTGAGAATCAAATCGAGGGCCTCATACATGCTAAGCAAGCCCTTTATCACTGATCCACAACCCTCACCCAAATAATGGATTTTTACCTATTTGCCAAAATTTGTTCTTAAGGATTAGTATTCTTGAATATATAAACAATATATTAGACAACTAGCAATATAGTCATGAGAATGTTCTCTTTTAATATATTCACTAAAATTATTTTAGCAACATTTTTTGTAATAATCAAATTTTAAATCAATGTCTTCCACTTGCCAAGTCAAAAAAAAACCTTGAGAATCAAATACACACACGTATATAAAAATAGGAAGTAAGAAGGGGGTGAGGGAAACCTTCACAATAGAATGTCAACTAACAAATATAAAGGAATTGATAGAAAAATCACTATTTTGCAACCATCATAGTAATTATTATTATGATTCAATCAAGAGTCAACTATCATGGGATATATCTCAGTAGAAAAGTGCTTTTGTAGCACACATAAGGCCCTGGATTTAATCTCCAATAAAACACACACACACACACACACACACACACAAAAATTTGTTCTGAACAGTATATTTACATAATCTCAAAATATCTCCCCATAGATATGACTTCATTACAAATGGGGGGAAATACCTTTACAACAGAGAAACATACCAGGCATTATCTTAACCAAATGATCTAAATTAAGATCACCAATAAGACAAAATGACATCATGTGTGTTCTTATGTTAGACACTGAAAAGTGCATGTGACTTGCACAGTATTCCTGACAAAAATGAATAGCCTCAAAGTAATAAGAAGACAAATTCAAATGGAGTGATAATCCATGCAACATGTGGTGCTTGATAACTCAAGCCTCAAAAATGTAAATATTGGGGCTGGGGTTGTGGCCCGGTGGTAGAGTGCTCGCCTAGCACGTGCAAGGCCCTAGGTTCAATCCTCAGCACCATATAAAAATAAATAAATAAAATAAATAATTGAAAGGAAAACAAGGAACCAGGAGACAGGCGAGAGAGAAATGGAAGATGGAGACCAGGCAGAGAGTTTATTTGTCAGAGCTGACAAATAAAGGCATATCTCTCCATAGACAAGAGAAGTAAAACAGGCTTGGGGTTTGGGACTTTTATGGGGCAGGCTCAGGGATTAAAGCTGAGTAGGTCCTAAAGCAGGTTAAGGGTTGGGTTGATATGAGGGAGTGGTGAGCCTTTCTCAGAAACACAGCAGGGCGGGAAAGCAAAATTTTTCTTAAAATGGTGGCTGTCACTTAAGATGGCTGTGCAGATGCTAAGCAAGGACCTTACAGTGTCCACTACAACTAAAAAATAAATATTGAAAAAAAATGTGTGGGGGCCAGGGTTGTAGCTCAGTGGTAGAGCGCTTGCCTAGCATGCCTGAGGCACTAGGTTTGTTCCCTGGCACCACATAAAAATAAAAACAAATAAAATAAAGGTATATATACACACACATATAGGGCTGGGGTTGTGGCTCAGAGGTAGCGTGAGCGCCTAATACATGCAAGGCCCTGGGTTTGATCCTCAGTACCACATAAAAATAAATAAAACAAAGGTATTGTGTCCAACGACAACTAAATAAATAAATATTTTAAAACATTTTTTAATGTAAATATCAGCTGAGTGGAATGATGCAGGCCTATAATCCCAGCTACTCTAGAGGCTGAGGCAGGAGGATGGTAAGTCCCAGGCCAGCCTAGGACTCTTAGGAAGACGCTGTCTCAAAATAATTTTTGTTTTAAAAGAGGACTGGAGATATAGTTCAGTGGTAGAGCACTTGCTTGTCATGGGTAAGGCCCTGTTCAATCCCCAGCGTGGTTAAAATAAATAAATATCAAAAAGGACTAATAAAAGATATTAAAACTTTTTCAGATTAAAGGAGAGGCAGGTCAAAGAAATGTACCACGTGAACCTGGATTAAATTCTAGACTGGAATAAAAATTGTATAATGCCACAGTCTGGCTGGGCACAAAATAACCGAGCCGCCACGAGGCACTTGTAGCTTCAAACAGGAACTACTTTATTGCCCAAACTCCACTCGCACTCCCCAGCCCTCAACGGGGCTCCGGAGAACTCAACTGGGAACTCCGCAACTCAAAAGTAGGAGGGGGGGCGCCCCGAGGCAGCAGGAGCCTCCCTATTGCTGGACAGCAGGGGTCTATATACAACTGAATACACAGTCTGCTTCAATCCAGCATCATCCAGTCACTGCAATCATACACAGCTTAACTTAATTATCATCATCTTAATGGCTCCCTGGCTTCACCTCTCAACCACTCCTGGCAAAATGCCAGGCGCCATCCCAACTCGGCTGTGGTTCTCAACAGTATAAAGGCTTTTTCAGTATTGGCAAAACTTGGTTATGGACTATATATTGTATATAGTATTACATTAATGTTAAGTTTCCTGAACTTGATAATTTGAGTATGTTTATATTAAAGAACATCCTTAGAGATATATTTTAAAGAATTATGATTTCCGTAACCTCCTCCCCAGGAAACTGTAACAATAATCATGTCTATCTACCTACCTATATGTAGACAAAGCAAACATGGCAAAGCTTTCATAATGTAAGGGTCCGGTGGAGCGTTGGAGAAAGAAACCACAAGAGACCAGCCTCATGCAACAAGCAGGGGGGAATTTTATTGAACCAGCATGCTGGGGCTCTGTGCCCACTCAAGGAAGGAGAGCAGCCCAGAGCCCAGAGCAGAGGTCAAGCAGAGCTTAAGTACAGTTTTTGGAGGGGGGGGGGCTTTGCATAATCAGAACAAATCATCATGAGGCACAGGAAAAATTGAACAACAACTCTGGGACATGATTAGTACATTTATTGGCGGGAACAGTCTGGGCAGGGGTGATTGGTCACTCCTAAGCGGGGTACACATTTAAACTGATTGGTTTTGGAGCCTGGATGCTTACGTGCCGAGCTACTTGGAGCCCTTAGCTATTAAACAACCAGGGGACCAGGAGAAATATTTACTGGGCAGTTCAGGTATTGTCCTAACAGCTACAGGGATTACAGGTTGGGGGTAGCAGAGGAATTTTAACAATACCTGGTCTATTACTTTTTAGCCCAGGCCTTGCAATTTAGAAACTTTACAATGCCCAGTCTTTTACACTTTAACTCAGGCTTTTGCAGCTTAGAATCAGCTTAGAAATTTAACTTTACAATAATTTGTAAATCTAAGTGAAGAGTAAATGAGTATTCATTGTATTATTTTTGCAACTTTTCTGTAGATTCAAATGTTTAAAAAATAAGAAACTTAGTATGGTTTTAATTTTTTAAAATTTTTTAGTTGTAGTTGGACACAATACCTTTATTTATTTATTTTTATTTGGTGCTGAGGATTGAACTTAGGGCCTCGAATGTGCTAGGCAAGTGCTCTATCATTAAGCCACAACCCTAGCCCCTGGTTTTATTTTCTTATGATTGTATCCTGATCAATATAATCAAAATGTTAGTGTTTCACATGGAAATTCCTTAGCTTATGGTGATTAAAGTTTGAAAATATTTTAAAATTAATTTGTTTTCCCTGTAGTTTGTAATTTTTATTAGTCTTCTTAGCCAATTTTGCCCAAAACCAATTCTCTTAATTTACCAAATGTATTGATTTACCAAAATTCTTTTTCTTTTAGTCATATACACTGTATGATTTCAATAACTTTTGAGGGTTGAGGATGTAACTCAGTGGTAGAGCAATTGCCTAGTCTGAGCAAGGCCTTGGGTTTCATCTTCAGTGCTGCAAAGAATAATAAAATAAAATGAAAGAGAAAAAAGAATTTTGCCAAGTTTTAGTTACCTGGTTTTTATTTTGTCTTTACATAAAATTTACACCCCATCTAAGCATTTAGAATTGATTTGTTTCTGCACTTATACAGGAAAGTTTATTGCCAGCCTTGGACAATGCATACAAATTTGGAATTTTTAATTTTAAAATGAATAAAAACTTATTGTGTACTGAGCATTAAAACCTTAACAGCTGAAGAATGTTCAATCTGTTCTTGTTCCAACTTCTTACAGCTTTAGCTGGATTGTGGACCCAGAGGAGAGATCCTCTAGGAAAGAGAAAAGAGTCAGTTCAGAGACCAGATTGGGCAGGGAACCTGAGGAGCAAAAAGAAGAAGCATAAGGAAAAACAGGAATGCCTAAAGGCCACATGACCCTAGAATTTTGGTTCCACTGAGCCTTCCTAGACTACTAATCAATCCAATATGAATTGAGGATATCTTGTGTGTGTGTGTGTGTGTGTGTGTGTGTGTTTTGCTGAGGTCTGAAGCTGGGGACTTGTGCATGTGATGCAAGCACTCTATCCACTGAGCTATATTCCCAGCCCCAAGGATACCTTTTAAACAAATAAATTTTATCGAAATAGGGGGAAACTGTGTGATTTATGAA